CTGTTAAGAGAAAGACTGGGGGTGGGGCATACAGAGTCTCGAGAGCATTTAATTGGACAAACAAGACTAGTACAGGATGAGTCATCAAAAAATTTTAAATAATTTTCCCAGAACTGGCAAACTATAAAATTTAAATGCAAATATCTCCAAATTTGTTTGTGTTTTATTTAGTTGTACTATCATATTGTTGTCCAGAACATTAAGGGACAGGTACAGAAAGGAAGGGCTGCGTTCATTCGATTTAGAGTTTCAAAACTGCTAGTTTTAACCTACTGCTGCCAAAATCAGTGACAGTACCTTCAATGCAGGGGTGTCCAGTAATATCTGCAAAGCACCTATGTGGCTGTAAGCTTGCATTCCTGATTAATAGACGCCACACGGAAAAAATACAGTGATTAAAAATGTGGAATAAGATAGGAGACCCTGCTTTACTGATCAGAAGGTTACTGATCGGGGGTTCAAGCCCCAGCGCTGCCAAGATGCCACTGTTGGGCCCTTGAGCAAGACCCTTAACCCTCTCGGACCCAGGGGTGCTGTATCATGGCTGATCCATGGCTCTGACCTCAACTTCTGAACAAGCTGGGATATGCAAAGAAAAGAATTTCACTGTGCTGTAATGTATATGTGACAAATAAAGGCTTCTTCTTAATATACAGGTGGAATTTAATGCTGTGTTTTTGACTGATTCTGCTGATTTATAGAATGACATGACATGGTTGACTCCTTTGCTAGTAAAACTACATTTAAAGTTCAGGTTAATTGTGCGTGAAAAAAGAAGCTTCCTCTAACCACCCCTTTTATGGTGTATGAGATGCGCTAAAGTAGCTTCAAGCCATAAAAATAAATGCTGCTTCACTTTAAGGTTGTGAATGCAGATGGGATACGCAGTATAGCATGTGAAGACTGAAGTGTACTACTTTTGCAGTGAAATTGCAGAGTAGATGCTCTTTGGCAGGTAGCCATCCACCCTCGCTGAGCCCCCCTGCTGCCTAGCTTATGCAGAGATGTGAGTGTGGCCCATCCCAGCATGCATCTGCCCACGCTCGCACAACCCCCTGCTCCCTCCCACCCATCAGCCATGCACAGCTCCAAAACACAGAGTACACAGAGTGCCATAGAAACACCGCTCAGTGTTAATTAGGCTTCCAGATCGACATGCCTCGGAGAAAATATAGAGCGCTGGTGCTGCACACCAACCAAACTTTCACTTACAGGAACAACAACATAAAGTACAACTTAGTGTTTTCATAATTAGGTACAGTAATGCAACCATCATCTGCTATCTATCTATTTATTTATTTATTTTTACAAACTGTCCATCCATGTAAATGTGCAGAGACAAGCCTTTTCATTGTCTAACTCAGCTGATGAGGTGTGGTAGATATTGCTGCTCTCCCATCGATCACTCTCTCTCTCTCACACACACACACACACACACACACAGCGTAACCTCCACAAAAATATCATGTCATTATAACAGGAACATTATTACTTCATGGCACATAAAATACAAGAGCTTCAGCTCTCCATAAAGCATATTGATTATAACGTGATTATATTACTCATATCTTGAAACTGATCAGCTTTTTCCCTCTTTTTCTGTAAACAAGGCACATTATGAAAGTTCAGTCTGCCCCATGGGACAAGTCATCTTTTACAAGTAGGCCTACTGCTGCATCTCTCTCTCATGGGGAACAGAGACTTGCTTCCTTAAAATGTAGTGCCTGTTATTTAAAAAGAACAGAAACTCAGCTCAAGCTTAAGGACAGATGAGTATCTGCTCAAGGATCATAGCAAAATTTACACCTTAATACCACTCAACTGCTAATTAAACAGCAAACCTGGTTTTGGATAAAACGCTTAAAAAACCTTCCAACAGGGACAGCATTGGGATTATGAACATATTTCATTAATGTAGGATTGTAGTTGTTTAAATGCTTGCTGTCTTTCTGGAATTCAGAAAATCTTTAAACACACATAGCCTAAACACATAAGGATGCACTGATCCCATTTTTTTTTTCTCCATGTGTGAAATGATACCAATAGCAGAGCTCTGAGTATAAGGTGATACCAGATAGTGATCCGATAGGAACAGTTATGTGAAACATCAGAGGCCTGATTGTGGTGGCCTTTAAGTCAAGTTGTATCCTGTGATCTATGTAAGATCTGTATTGTGTACATATCAGCACACGCCTTCACAGCGTAAAATGTCGTAGGATAGTTTTGGGGAATAAAAGGTCAAAATGTCAATTTGATCAAGAGATCCAGTGGTTCAGGTCAGTATGGGCACTGACACTCACACTCTATATCAGATAGGGGTACATTACTATCAACAACGTAAAAGAATTTTATACCTTGAAAGCTTTATGGGGGTGGCATGGTGGTACAGCGGAGAGTGTTGCCACCTCACAGCTCCAGGGTGCCTGGTTCGAACCTGATCTTGGACTACTGTGTGTGGTTTTTTTTCTCCTCCTAAAAACATGCCAGTGGGTAGTTTGGCTATGCTAAATCACTCCTAAGTGTGTGCGTGTGTGTGTGCACATGCATGGTGCTCCACGATGGACTGATGTCCCATCTGTGGTACTGAAGATGAATGAATGAAAATTTCTATGGTTCGTGACATTATGAAACAGAAAATCTTAATGAATAGAATAGGCATAAGACTTGGGAAAAAAAAAACCCAAATAAACAAAAAAAACTAATCAGATTCTAACCTGGAAATCACGTGTCAATTCATGTTGTCTCAGTAATGAACTAAAGCAAAACTGTGATGTACTCTGAAACTATGAAGGACACTAGGCTGATTATTTCACAGTAACTCGATTAGAAACCTAATTGCCATTGTGGGTGTTGGAAGAAGGACCATTATGCAATGTAACTGCGCCTCACACCTCTGTTCTCGCTTGCAGGTTGAAATCTCGCGTGACTTCACAACCTACATTACACTAAGCTACTAGCGCCTGTCTTTTTCCTAACCGTTTTCTAAAAACTCCGCCTTCTGTGTTATGACTGGTCAGGCAGTCAGTACTGTCCAGGAATTGATTTCGGATTGGCTAATCCAGCAGCGGTCTTTGTCGAGACTAGCCAATCGTAGCGCAGGAGGAGGGATTTGTTGGTATACGGGTGGGGAAAAACACAACGTTTCGGCTCGGCTCAGGCTGTGTGTGTGTGTGTGTGTGTGTGTGTGTGTGTGTGTGTGTGTGTGTGTGTGTGTGTGTGTGTGTGTGTGTGTGTGTGTGTGTGTGTGTGTGTGTGTGTGTGTGTGTGTGTGTGTGTGTCTGTGCGTGTGTGCGCGCGTGCGCGCGAGATCAGCTCCCGAAACCCGAGCGAGAGAGTGAGTGAGCGAGGCGGTTACCGAGACGAGACGAGAGAGAGGGAGAGAGGGAGAGAGAGAGGGGCGATCTATCAGAACAACATGGCTACAATTCCAACCTCGACGAGGTTTACGGACGAGTATCAGCTTTATGAGGAGCTCGGAAAGTAAGCAAGAGCGACCAAATGCTGTGTTTGTGCTTCACGTCAGCTAGCTCTGCGCGGCTTCGCGGTAAACGGCTGCATTCACGTCCCAGGCGGCTTCATTTGATTCGTGTAACGTTACTTCGGTTCACCTGTCAAAACCCATATGGTCGGACTGCAAACCGCTACCAGGAGGCATGCTTAACGATTCCAAATGTCTCACATGAGCTCTCACAACATGTATATAACGCTGCAATGCACAGAGTGGTGCTAGCTCGAGTGTGCTGCTAGAAGCTGTAAAATAAACTAGCCGACTCGCTTTCTGCTGTTGTGTGTGCTTCTCAGTGGACTCGTTAGCATACAGATACATGAAAAACAGCCATTTGCTGTTGGGTGACTCGTTGACATTACCTGTGCTGAAGTTTTGCAGTTTTTTTTCTTCCGTTTTTTGTAGCTGAAGCTGGCTGTGGGGAGAAGATAAGGGGCTTTCTGCAGATGAGCTATAGCTAAGTTAGCCATAAAGCGGAAAATGTTATGAGCTCGTGCTGCAATTAGGAGTCATGTGTGGTCTCTTAGACACGTCTGCGGCTTTTTCTTTCTAATACGGAAACGTGTCGATTTATAGAAAACACACACCCTTAGAGAGACCTCTGTTTTTTTGTTTTTTTTTTAATGCTTTCCTTAACATGTGTATCTGTGTGTATGTAGATACAGAGATAGAGAGAGATACAGAGAGAGAGATGTGCACAGAGTCAGATGAATGCAGGGATGGAGCACAGTGCGGGTGGAGTAGGCCACTGCTGCCCACTCAGCCTGGCCTCCTCCATCTCTGCATTCATTTCAGTCAGCATCAGTGCAGTGCCCAGCTCTGCATGGCTTTCCCTACTGCAACACTCTTCATTCTCACCCCAAATGTTCAGCCATGTATATAGGATATGGACTAGTACAGTGTTTCAGGGCTCCACTGTGGTCAGGGGTTTGTCTGTACTGCTATATTGGAGGAACTCAAAGCCATTTCATTAGCTGGTTTGACTGGTCGCTTGAATTTAATGGGTTCAGTCCAAACCTCAATAACTCAAAATCAAGTGGGGCTATAAATAATGTCAAGTTGGACCTACTGTGTTCTTTTGCTGTAAATTACAAAACAATACAAAAAACCTCTATGGCTCTAATAAATCGCCAAAACGTTATTGTACGCATCTAAATAATGAGCTTAGTATTTAAATAGTTGGATTATATTCCTTAGGTAAATCGGTACTGGTGCAGTTTGTGAAATTTGCTTTACAGTGAAAAAGGGTTCTTGTCCTCAAAAACTATGAGTACTACCAGAAAAGAATGTGTGTGTGTGTGTGTGTGTGTGTGTGTGTACATAGATAGACACACACACACTATTGGAACGGCAAGGCCAAAAATTCTTTTGTTTTTGTGATACACTGAAGACATTTGAGTTTGAGATCAAAAGATGAATATGAGCTCAGAATTTCATCTTTCATTTCCTTGTATTTACATCCAGATGTGTTAAACAACTTAGAACTTGGCACCTTTGGTGGTTAAGCTCTGTGGTTAAGACACTGGACTTCTGATCGGAAGGTCGTGAGTTCAAATCCCAGCACCACCAAGCTGCCACTGCTGGGCCCTTGAGCAAGGCCCTTAACCCTCAACTGCTCAGTTGTATAAATGAGATAAGGGCATCTGCCAAATGCCATAAATGTAAATGTAGACCACCCAATTTTTAGGTAAGGGAAAGTGTAGGAACTGATAGTCTTAAAGTAAACAATACTTAATATTTGGTTGCATATCCCTTGCTTTCAATAACTGCATCAAGCTGGTGACCCACTGATGACATCAAACTGTTGCATTCTTCTTTTGTGATACCTCCAGGCTTGTACTGCAGCTTCTTACAGTTGTTTGTTTTGGGGGGTTTCTCCCTTCGGTCTCCTCTTCAGGAGGTGAAATGCATGCTCAGTTGGGTTAAGGTCTGGTGATTGACTTGGCCAGTCTAAAGCTTTCCGCTTTTTTGGGTCATTGCATTGTTTCATGATGAAGTTCCTCCTAGTTAGACTGGATTAATTTCTCTGTAAACTGGCAGACAAAATGTTTCTGTAGACTTCTGAATTCATTCTGCTGCTACCATCATGAGTTACATCATCAATAAAGATTAGTGAGCCCATTCCAGAAGCAGCCAAGCCATGACACTACCTCCACCATGCTTGACAGTGAGCTTGTATGTTTTGAACTTGCCCTGTGGAGGTTGTTGGTGATGTCACAGACTGTAATTTTTGGTTTTTCTTCACAGCTCTCAAAATGCTTCTGTCATCAACTTCTGTTGTTTTCCTTGGCCTACCTCGTCAATATCTGGTTGCTCAGTACAGCAGTGGTTTCTTTTATTTTCAGGACATTGTAAATTGTTGTACTGGCCATGCCCAGTGTTTGTGCAATGGCTCTGATCAATTTTTCTCACTTTTCTCTTTAAAATGGCTTGTTTTTCTCCCATAAACAGCTCTCTGGTCTTCATGGTGGTTTATCTTTTTTAACAAAAAAATGCAGTCTTCACAGGCAAAAGTCCAGGGTTCAGACCTAGAGTAGACATTCAGCGCTATTAAATGTTTAAACAGTCAAGCTAACAGCGTACACCTGGACAACAAGAAACACCCGTCAGTCACATGTTCCAGTATTTTTTGATCACTTGAAAAATGGGTGGGTTCAAACTAAAGGTGCCATGTTCTAAGTTGTTTAACACATCTAGATGTAAATCTCAGTAAATGAAAGCTGAAATTCTGATCTGTTGTCTCATATTCATCTTTTGATTTCAAACCTAAATGTTAGGTGTAAATCAAAAACAATAGAATTTGCCTTGCTATTCCAATACTTTCGGAGGGGACTGTGTATAAATGTCTACTAATAGAGTAATGATGTCTAACAATAAAATAGTCTATAGTGCAATGGATGACAAGAGCAGCTAAAGAAAGTAGTAGCAGACAAATATGTGCAACAAATCTGCTACTATGAGCTTATCCTCAGTGGTGTAGGGCTGTGTGATATGATGGTATATTACCGATATCGTGATCAGTTAAGTCACTCTTCCTCACTCTTACTGGAACTTTAAGAGCAGTGTGTGTAGATAGCACAAAATATATATTTCACCTAACATCGATCTCCTCTCGTATATGAATGCATTTTCTGACCCATGACAAAAATTCCTTTTGAATTTAACTTATGCAAAACACAAGAAGTGTAGTGAGCTTCAAGATAATTTGTCAGAAGTTCGATGTGGGGCGTCACAGAAGTGCAGCGAGTAGCATTGCTGCCTCACAGCTCCAGGGTCCCCGGTTCGATCCTGAGCTCAGGTTACTGTTTGTAATTTTCCTCCAAGTTCTCCAGTTTCCTTCCACCTCCCAAAAACTGTTGGTAAGTTGATTGGCTATGCTGAAGTGCTCATCCTGGGTGTGTTCCCGTCTTGATCCCTGTGTTCTTAGGCTAGACTACGGATCCACCATGAACCTGACCAGGATAAAGTGCTTACTGAAGATGAATGAATGTTAAAAACAAAATATCTGTCATGTCATGAACGTGCATGGCAACCATAAAATCACCTTTCAGAAATGATCATCCTGCAGATTACAATGCATTTCTGATAGAACTCAATGTAATGCTAAATGATTTTAATATTACGTCAAGGTATGACTAATGACTGATATTATGTTGTGTTAAATAATCCCAGGCTGTTACTCGGAGATCCTTCCAGAACATAAGTTCCACACTTTTTGATGCAACTTTTTTTCATTTAAAAACAGGGGTGCCTTTTCCGTCGTCCGGCGATGTGTGAAGAAATCAACTGGGCAGGAATATGCTGCTAAAATTATCAACACAAAGAAGCTGACGGCGAGAGGTAAGGCACACGAATTCTTCAATGTCCTTTTCGAGTGTCTTGGTTTCAGAAAACCTGAAGTGTAGTATTCATTTATTTGTTTGGTTTTTTTTTTTTTTTTGATGATGTGGCATCAGCAGCTCACATCTAGACTGTAACATGCTCCCAATGTGGTCTCCAGTTGCAGCCACAGGCATTTTGCAAAGAGCTGTTTCTGCTGTTTTTCAGTAAGAAGGATAGCCAGCTACTTCCAATTCCTAAATATAATACGAAAGGCTCTGTTTCTTTATTGTTGGTCATGATTTCTGTTATCATGTGTAGACTCAGGATAAATTCAGCTGTTCGATCCTATGTGGTGTTTTTTTTTTATACAGCTATTGTTCAGTTACTAGGGCGAAGAGAGAGTGGAAAAGTGAACCTGGTGTTTATATACACATAGTTTTCTGTTAACAAATGAAGCTCAGTGTTTAGCTGTGGATTTTGGCGTTCTCGGTGTAAGGTGCAGTCCAAGGTGAGGCTGTTTTCTGCTCAGGCTGAAACAGTGGCAGTGGTAAATACAGAGAGCTGAACATGGTGCATTTTGTTCTTGTCTTCATTTCTATTTTTTGACATTGGGTAATAAACAGTCGTTTTTCAGCTTTGTCATCGGTTGCACCTTTGTGACATGTTGTAATGTGGAAACTTGTCTGAGGGAAATGACGAATCACGTTGTTACCTTTTAGGCTTGCGGCCACTCTGCATACTTCTGTGACTGATCTGTTTCTTTTGTCATGGTCAGATCATACCTGAATGCCGGCCAATACCAGAAAAAAAGTTATAAGCAACCTGTTTTGTTGGTTTTTGGTGCTATGATCACTCACAACAGTAAACTACATTCAGGCAGTTCAGCCCTCTCAGAAAAACACTTGTGAATGTTTAAGTATAATTATTTATGTAACTAGCTGCTTTTGTATTTAACATACAGAGATAGCCGTTTGGTATTTTATAGTGTTATATTGAGAGAAGTACAAATTACACCAAAACCTACAAAACCAAATGCATGTCAGGCGGAAATACTTGTTTGAATGCTAGCCATTGCTTCCACATATCAATGACTGACGTAATCCTATGTTTATTTCCTTTAAAAGAAGTTTCCTGATTAATATATCTTACTGATTAATACATCTTTCCTGGTTAATTCATCTGTATTTGTTTTTTAGGGCAGTTACCGAGATTGATTTTCTCAAAGCATTCCGTCTACTTTAGTGATAGATATCAAGATGTAAAGACTGTTTAACGAGAATATTCTTAACAAAAATTATTTTCTTTATTAATGTTACTTTCTTTAATTGCAAAGTAATTCCACACTGAAGACATTACTGCTCCTGTAACATGCATATATATTGTGTGTGTTAGTGCCATACTATAATGTGGGCAGTGGTGTCTGCATAATGTTTCCAAAACCGTAATGAGTGGTTAAAGTGTGAGACTGGCCTAATTAATACCGAGTACTACTGATACTATCTGTACAACTCATTATCTTGTCCTTTTGATCCAGTAGCATGAAACCATGTTAGCAGTGACCTGAAGCTAAGATGAAGAGATTGGTTTGTATTTTTATCTCTTTGTTTCGTCCTCCTACTAGACTAGTCGGACTTCAGTGTCGACGGTATCATCAGGGCTAATTAAGCTCCTAGTGATGAAGGACTGGATACATGAGCCTCCTGCTCTGTCACAGGAAAAACAAAAGCTGCGGATCTATTTCTGGAAAGTGGACACTTCGTGTACCTGACCCTCAGGATATCAAGTTGATGATGTATTGTTTTGCGCTTGACGCTATATTACGATATTAGAATATTCAGCAATCGTCAACAGTTTTACTTCTTCCTCTGTGTTCATATTGTATAAGCAGTAACACACAAGAATATGCACATTTTAAATGTACCAATTGAGAGTTGGCTTTTAATCGTCTCTCTCTTTCTCTCTCTCTCTCTCTCATATATATACATACATATATATACATACATACATACATACATACATACGTATATTCTATTTCTCCGCAGTTATCAGAAACACACCTGTTTTCATTTAAGCCCAGGTTGTTGGGGTTTTTTTCAGCAATTCTTAGTGGAAGTCTTATTTTTTTTCTTGTCGTTCCCCCCCCCCCATTTTCTCCCCAATTTAGTCACCTGCCAATTCCCACCCACCAGCCAGCTTTTGCCATCATACCGCAACCCAAGGCTGAAGGCTAACACGTGCTTTCCTGAAATACATCAAGCCAGGCAACCACATCTTTTTAAAATGCTGCTCGTGCTGCATTACAGGGCAGCGTAACACACTCGGAGGAAAGCGCTGTCTGCCCTTTTCCACATACATGAGCTCACAGACACTCACAATTGATTAGTGTTGCTGTGATTGACAGAGTGAGTATGCCATCCATCCCATCCTACACTCCTGGCCATGGATGTCTTTGGCATCGTTGAAATTTGAACTCGCTCTCTCTTGATGCAGTCTCGTTTTACATTTTCTCAGTTGTCATGTCTGTTTTCCAGTTCCCACTTAAAGGCTTATGCAGTGGCATAACTGCACTAATGCTAATGTGGCTGGGATCTGACCTCATCATGTGGAGATGAAATTCGGGGATCTTTCAGAGTGAGGCGATCAATATCCTGCTAAGCCTTCCTTTGGTGTCAAGTTCACTCACTCTGTTCTATGTTTTTTCCATGTGAAGATGGCAAAACCTCTGCATGTTTTGTGAATACATAACTG